GGGGGGGAGAGAAGTGAGGTTTTTTTCTTTCAGATGCACGGAATTACACAATGCATTGAAACTAAGTGTTTGGGATTGTAGTTTTTTTGGGGGGGGCAGGGGGCAAGTCATATTTTTAAAAGGCATGGTTACTATTTAGTTAAAATTAGTATTTTTGGTTTTTAATTTTAAGATTTACTTTGTTTCAGTTGGACTTCACCCAAACAATTTTGGTTATTTAAAATATGCCATTGGTGCACATGATAATAGTCAGGGTATTCCGTAGACCTCACAAACTTCTGCATTTTCTCTTCAGCCATTTGTGGAGAAAGGCCATCCAATTCAAAGATTATTTCTACCCAGAATGTATGCCGTCATAATTCCAGTCATTGCTGGTGTGGTTTTGTTAGGAGTAATAGGTAACTGCTATCCTTTTTACTACCTGTACAAAAAGACATCAATTTGGGGGAACAGAATGGGTGGACTAATGGTAGAGATAGGAGGCACAAATTATCATTGCAAGAGTGGAGAAGTGTTTTCACTGTTACCAAAATTAATTTTAATGTAGAAATTCTATGGTTGGATGAACAAGTAACTTGGGGAAAATTTTGGACTGCCTTTTCAACCTTGTTTTGTTCAGATTTTCAGAATTATATTGTTTGTAACATTTTTAGCTGTATTTGAATGGGCAAACAAGTTTCTCTACTTTTTTTGTCAGCTTGAACCTTGTTCTATCTAAGATTACACAATTATGTGACAGATTAAGTGACAGAGTATCATGATGATGTGATATTAAGATGTTTTGCCTTCTTATCAAAGTAGTTTTATTTTTTAGGAGTATTTGTTGCTGTGGTGATGATCAAGAGCAAGAAACCAACCCCAAAGAAAGAGAGTTAAAGAAGTTGTCTAGAAAATGGAATCTACTCTACACTTAGGAAAAAAAATATTGTTTAAAACAAGAAAAGGCTCACAAATTGCTAGTGCACATGGAAGAAGCTGTTGTGAAACCAACTCTATATAGAGTAGGGGTATTTGGTTTTCATACTCTTGGTAAAGAAGACCAAATTTTGCTTTCAAGGTGCATCTTGCAAAAGAGGCTTGTGTGGAGCTAACATATACAGCAAGAGTAAGAACATAAGGACTACAGAGTTTATTGTTTCAAATGAACTGTTCAAGCATTTTGTTGTGAAAAAAAGGAAGAATAAAGATGTTTGTAATATAAAGTTTCTGGTAGCATTGTTTTTAAGAATTTTGTGTTTTTGTGTACTGGTACCCTAATTGTTAATTGAAGACCAATAAAATTGACTTTGTAACCATTTCTAGGGGCAAAACATCTCACTTTTGTACCTGTTGAAAATTCCTACACTTCCCAAAGTTTCATCGTTTTCTCTAAGAATTAAACTAATAGTGTTCAAAATGTTTATCTTTGCTTTACAAAATCTATATTAGTAATGACTTACTTGACATATTTCCCAACCACAGAAAATAACAAATTCCTTGAATTGTGACAAAAAAATCCAATAACCAGTGGTTACTACTTTGTGTAATTATTAGTCTTGGTGTAATACTGTGAACTGTTGATACCAAACATAGCTTTAGTTACCTGCTTCATGAGCAACATTTTCTTTGGTACATTTTGATTATGACCATCTATTATGACAAATTTTGGACAGACTTCAACTTGTAATTTTATTGTGAAAATTATATTTTAATGGTATACATTTTGTAGTTAAACAGTCAATCATTATCTCACCACTTTACATTTCACATCAAAGAGAAATTCTCAACTAAATACCAAATTCTACCCCTCAAAACAAAGTTATAGCAATGAAGTGCACTAATGGGAGGTTCTTCTTGGAGCTTGTTGGTAAGGCTTTCCTAATGTAGACAGTTTCCCCACACAAGAATAAAAATTGACTATCGCAACCCTTTTTGTAGGAGAAATGCATGAAATCTCCTTACTGCCTCCCAGTTAGCTCAATTGGTTAAAGTGCCGGATTGTGTTGTGTGGGAGGGCGAGGGTTCAAGCCTTGGCTGGACCAATACTCATGGTCTTAAAATAAGTGAGGAGAATTTGCTACCTTTCTATAATGTCAAGAAATGGATAGATATTCTAGTCTTCTCTGATAAGGACTAATAAACAGTAGGCCCCGTCTCCTGCAGGGTTAGGGGTAGAAGACATTAATTTCCCACGCACGAGATTACTGTGTGATGGATGTCCTCCCCTGGGGTGGGATGGATGGGTGTTGCTCGGCATATTAGCATGTATTGCTAGGGGCCTAGTCAGCCTCGACAACCCAAGTTGAAATAAAGTTACCTACCTACCTACCTACCTTTCCCATGATAGGTGTTTTTTGGAAAGAATTTCCAGTGATTTTTCAAGGAAACCTGACAACTTAAAGCACAATAAACTTAAGAGGAATGCGGTACATACACATTTCATTACAAAGAAATAGGAACATTCTAACATGAACAGCATGAATGCCAAAGTTGTTTCCATCAGTGGATGAATGACCTAGTAATTCTTCAGACTTGAGACAGGAACAATATGCATAAACTGGGTTGATTTGATATGATTTGATTTGAACCCAACCTGTGGCTTGTCTTGGTCACAGGTACAAATCTCAGCCAAAGAGCAAAGAAAGAAAAATAAATGTACCAGAGATTAAAATATTCTTGAAAAGTGGAGGAGAACATGTGAAGTCTACATGTATAAACACGTACAGTTACTGATCAGTCCCTCTCCCTGTAGATACTCTCAAGGATTCAGAAAAAAAAATGTAAGCATCTCCATTTTAATGAAACCCACCCTCTCAATTTATCACATGAATATCACATGAATATCCCTTGCATTATGCTGAATTCAGAGGTAGTAGGGATGGTAATTCAAAGTGTTTACTAGTTCAGTGTTTGTGCCCTACCAAACCAACTGGACGCATGTATCATGTCTGGTCAGGAGTAAGAGTACAGAGTGCTCTGGAGCAAATTCAAGAATAAAGAGAGAACTCTGTAAATTAAGCTTCAAAATTTCTTAAGAATAATGAAATGTCATTTATTTAGGCAATTCACAAAAATATGTACAATTTTAAAAACACCATTTCTAGTCAGTACATGTCTGTATGCCTTACATGAACATAATTCTCTTTCCCTTGCATTTCTTCTACTGAAGTGTGATTAAGCTTCAAGGGCAGCACTATTGTCTCTGATTTTCAAACAAAAGTCTTGGCATCTTGGGTAGTCCCAGATTTCACTTTTTACCACCTCTATTACGACAGATGACTGAGAATATCTCCACGTCACACGTGTCCAAAACACAATTATGGGATGATCCTTATTTCAGGTCAGGTACAGAAGACCCTAAATAAACCTTGAGGCCTTCAACTGTTGATTTAACTAGCTTGCAGGGAATAGTTTTCTCTTTGAGTCTTTTGTAAGCTTCAAACCTATGGCATCCTCCAAATGAGTAAAAATAGTCTCCCCCTAGTCTGCCTTTAATCCATAACACATCAATTGGAGGCACAGAATATCTTGCATGCTCGTCCTTAAGTTAAAAAGACAATTTGGTCTTAGTATTTAACAAATGGTAAACACTTCAGTGTACACTATTGAGTTATGGATGCATGCAGGAGGTTGCTAAGCACAAAAGAAGCGTAAGAGTTGCACGAGGCGATAGCCGAGAGCGACTCTAGCTTCTTAAGTGCTTAGCAAACCTCCCAAGTGCATCTATAACTCAATAGTGTACACTGTGGCATTTACCATTTGTTTTGTAACCTAACATTGACACATTGTAGCAAAAGAGTTTTCTTACATGTAACAAATCTTACATGACCATAAAAAACCAGCACATGCAGAAAACTAGTCTTAGCATTTGCTCATGTCAGCAGCACCTATGGGCAAATGGTGGACACTGAATTGACCAATCAGAGCACGCACTTTACTTTGGTTATGTTATAATATAATATGAAGGAGTCAAGGTAAAAAATGACCCATCAATTCCATGGCCCTTTTAAAAATATTTCAGAATTATAGTGTTTTTGTAGGTACACTTTGTTTTCACAGTAGACAAGCATCATTAAAAACTTTTTTCACTGACACAGGCCTTTTAATTGATTCACATTTAAAATCTACTGTTGAGAGAAAATCCCTAAAAGAAGATGGCTTTGGAATTTTCGGTTTTGACTGTTTTTTGGATCGGTTTTTGGGCCAAAAAGGTTCGGTTTTTCGGTTTTGATGTTCAGAGCGGTTTGCAGATCTTATGTGTTTTTGCATTTGGTTTTCGGTTTTCACGAAAACTCTGACGCAGTTTTCTGTTTTTCCTTTTTGGTCGACCCCTTTAAAGGTGAAAATGTAGCGGTTTTGTCAGGTTTGCATGTGGTTTTTGGTTTTGCTGCCTTTTTTCGTCGGTTTTTCGGTTTTGCTGCCTTTTTTCTCCAGTTTTGTGGTTTCTCAGAGGCCCCAATGCCCCCTCCTAAAAAACTATTTTTTCACAGTGAATATCTAATACTTCAGATATTTCACTGCTGGGGAAAAAAGGTCTTCTTACTCTTTTTTTTTTTTCAGCTAATGCAGTGACAATAAACCAGAACACTACCAATAGGAATAATGCTTTTCTTTTTCCACTGGTTTTGTGCAAACCAGTGGAAGGAAATAACAGAGACCTGCTGGGTGGGTGGGGGGTGGGGGAGGAGAGGAAATAAACAAGTGGTAGCTCTGCATACTTTATCAGTTGAATTAATATGGGTGATCATGAAACATGATTGTGGTGTTCCATAATAACTTAGATTTCAACGGTTGACTGGAAATCTTGTTGTAAGTATGAATTTTTTTAAAAGAGCTTTTCTTTCTTTTTGAAGTCTCGGTTTCAGTGAGCGTTACTGATCCATATTTAAGCTTGATATCAAAAATTGTTACTGTAGTTCTTTTATGATTTCAAACAATGTTTGTACTGTATATGTTTGAGGGGCAAAACATTTCCAGCACTGCTTTCGATGAAGAAAACTGCTTTTATCAGATGCATAAGAACTCTTTCGAAAGAAAGTCTGAGCTTTTTCTGAGATGGCTGTGAATCAAAAACACTCTCACCTGAATTGTTTGTATTAGAGACTGTACTTTTTCTTCTTCAAGCACAGAAGGTATTGGGCGATTAATAACATTCATCGGTACCTGGTGGACTTCTTTGATTCCATCTGAATGCACACTACTTCCTTCAGCCATAGATCGCAGAAATCGCTCAGTTCTGCAACACATGAACACCAATCTGTATAAAAGGAAACGTGGCGGCCATTTCCGTGTCATAACTGGGACCGTGGGACGAGTTTGTCAATGCTCGGCCAAAAGAACTGGGTACACGAACATTGTTTATTCAAAAATGGCGGTTGTTTTAGAAAGGTATGTAGCTAGATTATGTTGATGACTTTGATCTGGACGAGAGAACCACGAGTTCATCAGAAGAAACCTTAAAAAGGATAGAAAAAAGTTATACAGACCAAGGCTAACGTTAAATTTTACTGGTATCGGAACAAGGGCTTTACTGGAAAATGAAAAGGTGGCTGTTTTAGAAGCTTTTGAGAACTCTTCAGGAAATCTACCAAGATTCAGTAGTTAACGGTATGACAACTCTGGTACTGACGTTAACAATTACTTACATGTAGCCAGATGAAGTCGTGGGTTGGGGGGGGTGTATGTGGGTATGGTTCAAAGATGGAGTACAACTTCAATTTTGTCAAGGGTAGTTAAGACACTGATTTTCAAACCCTATCCGGCAAGAGTACCATATAACCCCATACATTAATTATGCATTCAGACTGGTAGACTTTGTTTTTAAAGTTTTGTCGTGAAAGACAAAGAAGTGGAATGCATAATTAATGTATGGGGTTATAGGGTACTCTTTCCTATAATGAAATAACTTTTTTTTTTTTTTTATAATTTTTATTATATCTTGGAAACTTTTAGTTTAACCTGTTCTGCATGTCTGGCAATTCATCTAGAAATTTGTAGATGGCGAGGCTCAAATATAAATCTTCTAACGGAGCTTTCAGTGGGGAGGAAAAAGAAGACATTTACAACCAGCTTATCGCCCAAAACAGAAGTTTCCAGTACCTTAATTTTGAGGGTAACTTTCTGAGTGAGTTTGTACATGTATCTTCTTTGCAAGAACTTATTAAGGAAGATTTTAATTGTACAGGAAGCAACACAGGAAATTCTCCTGTTTAAACTGGGGTGTGTGAAGAGTTAAAAAGAATTGTGAGCAAAAGAAAATTTTTGATGGATCATAACTATCATTTCACATGAATTCCAGTTTATAAAGTGTGGCAGGGAAAATGTTGTGTATATAGATGCATGCACTGTGTAACACCAAAAGTTTGGACTGTTTAATTGCAAATAAAAATTAAAACATAACCATAAAAGTGCTTCATTACTTATGAGATATATTTTAAATAAAAAAAATAACTACTGGTATATGTTAGCGTATTAGATCATTGTGTTTGGGTATGAATCTTGCACCAATCAGATTGCTGCACTAGGGTATGTATCTTGCACCAATCAGATTGCCAATCAGAGTGTCAGGGTACTGTCCCTCATGTCAATCATGTCATGGAATTAGCGTGTTGCAAAGTGTTGCAATGAAACCAACCCAACATTTTTGCAAACCAAGAATGAAATCATTTGCATAAAGCACAAGGCTGTGGTCTAGCAGTGCCCGGTGGCCCCTGGCGCCTTACTTTTGCTCTTGGGCGACTCAGAAATCTTAGTTTTTTCATACAAAGCATATGCTGGGCACCCTGGATTTCACAGTTTCTGAGCACTTGGCCCTCTTCAATTTTTCTTAGAGCACAGCCTTGAAGCATATTTAATTGATAAACTTCTCTTGCCTTTTGGTTCCTCTTTTGGCTAAGGTTGGAAAGATCATCTGGGCTCCATTTAGTCCTGTTACCACTACTAATAATGTTAATAATGTCAATATATCAACAAAGTTGAAATGGTAAATTGGCCACCATTAGGA